CCTCTCCTGCCTGAGACCTTAGCATCATTAGGATGACTGTGTAGGACACAAGCAGGAAGATAAACCACAGGGTAGTGACCAGGCCATTGTTTGAAATAATCAGGAGCTCAAGAGCAAAAGTGTCAGTGCAGGCAAGTTTGAGGACCTGGGGGACATCGCAGTAGAAAGTGTCAAGAACATTGGGTCCACAGAAAGGGAGGGGCAGCAGCAGGGAGATCTGCACAATGGAGTGGACAAAGCCCCCCACCCAGGAGGCCATAATGAGGGCAGTGCATCGTCCTCTACCCATGATGGTCACATAGTGCAGGGGCTTGGAGATGGCCATGTAGCGGTCAAACGCCATTACAGAGAGAGAAAAAATGTCTGCCCCACCAAGGAGGTGGAAGAGAAATATCTGTGTCATGCAGCTTGTGTAAGATATGGTCTTTTTCTTTGACAGAAGGTCCAGCAAGACTTTAGGAGCAGTTATCGAGGAGAAGCAGATGTCAAGGATGGCTAGATTGCGGAGCAGGAAGTACATGGGAGTGTGAAGGCGAGACTCACAGGTCACAGTGATCATGATGAGGAGGTTTCCCAGCAGAGTCGTCATGTACACAAGACATAAAAAAAGAAACAAGACCAAGCTTAGGTCCTGGGATTGAGTAAGTCCCAGAAATATAAATTCTTTTACTCTGGTGCCATTTCCCAACTCCATTGAATCATGTTTTCTCTTTCTTGAAGATCTTGGAAAAAAGAGTTATTTCAGAAAGTGTTTACTCCCTCTTAACAGGTTCAAGTATTGGGTCTGAAAACTTGTGAGGTATTATCACCACATGAATTGCAATTTCAAGGTTATTCCCAATGCGTCTAAAATGACATCTTATTATACAATCATGCATACACTTATGCAAATTACATTTTAAAAAAATGTATAAAAATGCATAAAAATGATGTTCCAGTTATTCAAGATACTAAGAACATTATTCAAGATAAACAGAGAGGGATATTAACTATTCAGAAAGCGACTATTGTGGCATGGGGAATATAAACATGGGCTTAGTTTGTTGTGTGAGTAAGGCAGTGCTTATTCTGTGTGCCTAGAACACCTTGAATTTCACAGGATTTTGGCTTTTTTTCCCCAGACTGGATGCTCCATTTAAATGGTTCTAAGAACCTCTGTCTGCAAAATGCCCCACCCCCTATTGGATTGAATTGTACGTAAGCAGCATTTAAATCGCAAACTTAGTTCCATGAAAAATTAGGAAATTTTTAAGCCATAAAATTTGTCTCTATTATTTTATTCTTCTTTAAGGGGACTTCTTTGTTTCTTTCTTTGCTTTAATCTACTTTAGGCACTGAAATCCCTGGGAGGTGAACAGCTCCTTAGCTATGGAAATAAAAATATTACAGTACTCAGAGCTTCTCTTGTGTTGTTTCAACTTCACTCTTAAGAAAGAATTTTTGTTGAGCTACCATTGACATACCATAGACTGCACATATTTGAGTTCACACTTCGATAAGTTTTGACATGGTATATACCTGTGACACCATCTCTGTAGTTCAGAGAGTGAATACATCTATCACCCAGAAAATGTCCTTATGCCCCTTTGTAACCTGTCCCCTCCACCCTTCCTTCTTCAGGCAACCACAGATCTGCTTGCTGTCATTATACATTGTTTGTATTTTCTACAATATTCTATAAGTGAAATTCTACTGTATGTGTTTTTCTCTTGTCTGCCTTCTTTCAGCCATGAAATTCATCCATTGTTTTGTGTGTACTGCTATTTTGTTCCTTTTTATTGTATGACTATATCACTGTTTGCTTATCCATTCACTTGTAGGTGAACACTTGGGTTATTTGTGGCTTTTGAATATTAACCATGAAGCTGCTATGAACATTCATCTTTGGGTCTTTGTGTGGACATATGTTTTCAGTTCTCTTGGGTAAGTAGCTAGGAGTGGGATGGCTGTAACTCTTAATATTCAATAATAAGACAACAAACAACCCAATTAAGCAACAAGGACAAATAATTTTAAAAAAATGAAGTCTCTAAAAGAAGTTAAGAAAAAAAGAAGAGAAAAAAGGACAAATTATTTGAACAGACACTTCAGCAAGAAGACACAGAGATAGGAAATAAGCACAGAAAAAGCTTCAACATCATTTATCACGGAGAAACTATAAATTAAAACAACTGTAATTAAAAAATAGTATACATTAGAATTACTAAAATGAAAAAGACTGATATATCAAGAGTGGACAAAGATGTAGAGGAATGGAACTCCAGTGGTAATGTAAAATGGCATAATCACTTTTGAAAACAGTTTGGCTTTTTTTGAGACAAAGTCTTTTCTTCTTTTTCTTTTCCTTTTCTTTT